CAATAGACTACCCTCTGATCTGCTCTAAAGGAGAGAAGTATGCTCTAAATTAAGCTTGCCTACAAGCAAAATCACAAAGCAAAATTGTGCAAAGCAAGCCAAAGAAAACAATGTATGTAGCAACAGGTGCCACACACAGGCCAGCAGCACTACAGAAAGAGTGTGTATGAACCTTCTTTTACATAACACAGCTCTGAAGGTGATTTCTGAAACAGCACCTATCCACGCATTTCTCAGGAGTTTTTGCCATCTCTCGGAAAGCACCAGGGGAAAATGACAGGTTCCAGCTTTCTGTGGGTAGACACACTAGGAGTTACATAAAATATAAGGGAGCTTATATAATTTTCAGTTCAGTGAGCTGTAACATTTGTCAAGTTAATTTATTGCCTTTTCTGACCTTCGATTCAAACTCGTCTGTGCTATTATAAATTGCCAGGGTGCTAAATCAGGGGTGAGCTTCCATAGCAAATTTGATCTCTCACTCCAATAGGAACAATAAGCTAATTTAAAAAATAAACAGTTTCTTAGAAATTTCTATTAGCTTGCTCGGCAGTAGAAATACTGAAAATGCTCACGTGTATTCTAGAAATCAGAACTAACCTAATCTGGATTAGGAAAATCCATCTTGATCGTTTAATGCTTCAATGAAGCAGAAAGTCATTTCCACAGTTAAAACAACTTTTCTATTAGAATAATAATGAAATAATTAACACTCATTCATCACCATTATAAAACATGCAGCAACACTGAAGCCAGTGTGCTCAAATATCTACTAACATAAAGAGTTAGCAGCAACAACTATTTAAGTTATCCTTGTCCAATAACACAGTGCTCTCTTCTCCCATTAAGGCACATGGGAGTTACCCGGGAACTCCCATTATTAACTTTAACAGGAGCATCATCACATGTTAAATCGCTGTGTGTCAGTGGAAACTTTTTGCTTCAGTGCACTCTGTGCTCATTTCCCATGTAAAAACCTATGGTAAGAAAATACCGTGCAAGAACGAAGCATTTCAGATCTCATTGCCAAGAAAGTCATTTTGCGTAACCCATTTTGCCAGTATCCCAATAGTTTCCTCATTCTCAATTTGAATGCAGTAAAAACATCTACAGAGTGTAGTGTGAGCTCGTTGAGAATACCATAGTTAAATAAGAGCTGCTAATAATAAATATACATTTGTCATGAATGAAGATAATCAATTTGTGTAGAATTGCAAGGCAAAGAATTTTGGTAGGTGGAGTTTCTGAAAGTTAAAATTAGAAGTACATGTGCACCGATAGTCTGTGATACAAGATTAACAAAGCTCAGAGTCACTATTCTAATGGCAGTTTGTTAAAATTACAGTAGGATCTCCGTAAATCCACACTAAAGACTGGGAGACCTATTATGAAGTTCTCACTAAATTTGCAAAATTGAAGAAGTGAATAAAAAAGCAGAGGGCGGCAAAGATAGTGCACCACCAAATGTACTTTGTTCATTTTGACAAGTGTATCTGGGTTTTCATAATACCTCATAATAGACTAGTAATGTTCTGCAGCATGTTTTGTAGAAGTAATGAAGTCTTAACAATAGGAAACGTCACACTGCCATAGTCTGCTATTAAATCTTTCCTATGCAGAAGGGAGAGATTCTTTTAAAAATGTGAATTGAAAGCAGTGTGGATGAATGGACTACCAAATGCAGACCTTCTGTAACAAAGTCTCAAGCAGCTTCGTTTCACCTGCTCACCACCTTAACCTTCTAGTTTTCTCGGCAACTAGATGCAACATTGTCCCCAGGTGTGAAGGGGAAGCATGGTTATACTAACCTCACCCAGAAAGGAGACCAATTTAACTGAGCCATAATTTAGTAATTACTTTGTGGGAGGGAGAAGTGAAATCATGATTTTACTACATCAACCTTCAAGTTCATTTTGATTTGTAAATTCTGAGCCAGCTGTTCTCCCAGAAATTAAGCTCCGTCGTCGGCATTTTTCTACATTAAATTTTGATGCTTTATTTTTAATGACTCAGGTAGTGCTGAAAGATTAGAAAGAGCTGAAGTACAGATGTACTTTATTTATACTGAAGCGGCACCTTGAGGCCCTGATCAGAGAGCCCCATTGTGCTAGGCACTGAGCAAGGCAAGAACACTCCCTGCTCCACAGAGCTCACAATCTAAACTAACAAGTGGGGGTGGGAGGGAACTGCCAAGATGGGGACCTTTGCATACGTTGCCACATTTTTCACTTTGGCACTCTGCCTTTTGGGCTGTGGGAATCCTTGGCGAGTAGTTCATCTGTGGCACAACTACTTCACAGGGTACTTTCAGCATAGTCCCATTCGTAGTTTGGGGCATGAGTAATAGCTCCTGGGCGTGCCTGTGTCCTTGTATTCTGTACAGCACTAGCTGTAGGTTTCAGTGAATGATTTGGTGCATAAAACCTCAGTGTAATTCTGTACATAGAATCAATTCATCTGAACTAAAAAAAACCCCAAAAGCCAAACCACACCCTCACTAAGAGGAGATATTTTCTACAGTTGCATTGGTGCACGTAGACACACGTATGCTCTCTCTCTGAACTGCTGTTGGCTACACAGATCATTTTCCTAAAGATAGGGACACTCCCTGAGCACTTACCCGTAGAGCTGGAGAAGATGGAAAAAGTTAGTCTAATTTGCTGGATGTAGCATCTTAAAAGGCAAGATCATGACAGAAATTGGCAGAGTTGTAAGGTACGGATGTGAAAGTGTTAGGAGGTTTTACTAAAACTGCTCCACGCCAACAACTTCTTCCTCAGCAAATACTTAATTTACAATCCCCCCACATGTGCAGTGATACACATCAAGTGGAAACTAGGGAGTCTTCCTTTTTGGTTAAAAATGTCTCCTTGGAGATGGATGGAAGATTTCCCTACTATATGTAAATCAGAGTTAGAAAGGGATCCCTTGGATCATCTAGTCAAAATAAACTGGGAGGTGGCCCTATTCAGTCCATAGGCTTCAAATTCCAGAATAAGCTAAGGAATATAGATTTATCCTTGCTGGACTGGAACAGAATTTGATTTACCCACCAATATGACGTGGGAAGATACCTGTGCATTGCTAGGAAGATGAAGGCTCAGATTTAACACTTGAGAAGATAAATTTCACCCTGCAATAGTATTGCTGTTATTAAAAATTTAAGTTGGTGTGGGGCTCTTTATCCTTTGTCTCAGGCAGAGTGAGCTAAATGTTGATGAACGAGCGCACTCCATGTCCTCTTGCTCATACATATAGCAACAGAGTGCTGAGTGCAGAGTCTGAAATTTGGAAGGAGCCACGCAGGTTCTCCCCATACTACTCGAATATACCACATTAGAAGGTTGACGTTGCACAGTGACGTTGTGTATAACGATGCTGGCTGAGTATCACGTAGTGAGGTAACATCACAAAGCAACATCAGTTCGTCACACTGAGCTGTGGGTCTCTGATTCCATACAATGATGGATATAACTATTAGTTCTTCAGGATTTAATACAACTGCTAACTCCCAGACACTTTAGAGTCCCTTATTCTATTTTTTTTCCTGCCAGAACACATGGTGTAACAAGTGCATATTCTTTTTGTTAATAATAATGGAAATAAACACTTTTAGATAATCTGGTCATAGAAAGTCTGATGTCTTCTGCACAGCTTGAGAGCTTGTGGCTTTTAGCAAAGCCTGGCATTCTCCCCCTCCACTTGCAAAAATCTGAGCTAAATTCATCTTGATATAATTCCATTGATTTCAAATGAATGCTATGAAAACTTGTGTGTGAATTATAACAAGTCAGCTTGTCTATCATCATCATCAAGCATTAGTTAAAGAAGTGCTGAAAGGGACCAATCAGAATCAGGGCCCCATTGTGCTGGGCACTGTGCAAACACACAGAAAAAATATTCCCTGTCCTGGAAATCTCACAATCTATAAGGCAGACAGACAAACAAAACATTGGGGGAGTGGATGTAACATTCTGGAGATAATATTTCTAAAATTCATGCACTACAGCTGTGACATTAAGCTAGAAACCTAAACATGTCAATTACCTTAAGTGTTGAGAAATACTTAATTGATATTTAATTCTCTAAAAGAAAAAAAAGTATATTGTTTAAAAATAACTGCACTACCAAGTTACTGATAATTTTATTCAGACACAGAATAGAAAGAAATTAAATTATTGTACCTATTGGGAAAAACCCATTCTGGACTATTTATACAATATACACACATACCAACATTTCTCAAAAAACTCTGCACTTTCCAAGCAATTTTCAGAAGCCCAAATACAGGTGCATTAAGTAAAACGTAGAGTCAATGATAAGGCATCACATATTCTGTGATAGCCTTTGTAGGCTCGTTTAGCCACAGCAATGCATTGGTTCATGTGTGGAAGAACAAAAGTAATTGTGCTTTTGACACATGGCTTTTTTATTGTATGCCCATCAAACCGCACACAAACCCTAAACTGGTAGGTCTAGACAGCTGGCACAAACTTCTAATTCAGTCAATAAAAGCAAACTAAATTTAAAGACATGTAAGCCAATGAGAGCAACGCTGTCAGGGAATTAACTACAACCTGGGGCTTATCGCAAAGTAAAGTGTCTTCCAATTTTAAGCCAGATAAAAACAAAAGCTTAGTCCTGAAAACTCTTACACACTTGAGTAAAATTAAGCATGCAAGTAGTCCCACTGACTATATTATACTGCCTATACTGCCTTAATAACCTCAAATCCGAGCTTCCACACAAAGCCAACGTTTAGAAGTCAGTGATACCTAGCTACTTTTAAGTTAAAGTACCTGGGTAAAGACATATTACCTTGAAATATTGCAATACTCAAAAATACACAATATACAGAGAGCACTGACACTTCCCAGTACTTCAGGTCTAAGATTATCTAGTCACAGCTCAAAGCAACAGTCAATTTCTTGGGATTTTAGAAAAGGAATTTCAAATGATGATGTTTTTAGTAATCAGCTCATTGTTATCCATTTCCTTACCTGTATAGTAGTGTTGCCACCTTCCAGAAGGGCAATGGCTAGCAGAATACTTTCATGAAAAACTCTATCACTGGTGGCATTCATGATGAGGTCTATGACGAGGTTGGATGCACCTTCCTTATCCAAATGACACTGGACATCGGCCAAACTCATTTCACCTCGACTCATTGAACTGGATCCGGAGCTCCCTCCTATAAAGGTAAATCACAATGAATAGCTTGAGACTCACTCACCCCTTGATAGAACTCATTCTCCAATAAAGAAGAGTAAAATGTTATAGCCTAATAAATTAACACCGTGAAAAATTTAAAGTGCCAATCAGGTGTTTAACTCTGTACAAAAGACAATGACAAGTTCTCTCATGAAGAGCTTATACAGTCTAGAAAGGGGGTTCTCAAACTGTGGGTTGGGACCCCAAAGTGGGTCCCAACCCCGTTTTAATGGGGTCACCGCGGCTGGCGTTAGACTTGCTGGGACCCAGGGCCGAAGCCCGGGGCCTACGTCCCACCGCCCGGGGCCCATAAGTTAGGCTACTCTCAGCTCAGAAAAAAGTTACGTTCATTTATACATTTAATTTTAGTGTATTCTCTTTCAACAACAGCATTTGTTTTTGTAGATTAGAAGTTTGCTGACTTCTCCTAGAGTCCATATGAATGTGAAGTGAGAACAATCCAGAGGAGCTAAAAAAAAAAAAAAAAATTAGGATGGTTTCTGAAACCAACATTATATCATCAAAGAGCAAACGGGTAGAACTCCTTCCCAATCCTATTATGAAGGGATAGAAATAAGTTGCCCTTTTCTATGCAACTCACAGAAAGTCATGGGGGTGGGGAGGGATTCTCAAAGGGAAAAAAATAAAATAAAAAAAGCGACTTCACCTGTAAAATGTTCAGTTTGTTATGCGGAAACAAGCACAGACAATATGGCGGGCTAGAGTCATACAAATCACTAATTAGAAGGGAGCACATCCTACCTCCTCCCCCAGCTTTGCAAATGCCTCCAGGAGACAACGGGCCATTGCCAAAGCTTGTAAGGCTCTCTCTTCTTCCTGCAGGTCTGACGTTGCCATAGTAACGGTTGACCAACACTTGCCTGAGTGCTTCACCCTTAATTCAAACAGGGTAATGAAATCAGTATTTGAGTTTAATGCATAAATGAACGAACAACAATCAAGAGAACCAGGAGTGGTCTTATAATTGGCCTAGTTTCACCAGAGGTGGTGGGGGAAGGAAGGACTGAAACCGTGAATGTTTCAAAACAAAACTTCATTGAACATCCTACGATATTTTCAGACCAGCCTAGTCACTATATATCCATCCCACAAGCCTCGCCTGAGGTCACGGGTACCAAATACCAGCAATAGCTAAAGTTCACATGCCACGCTAAAAAATTCTAGCTTGTGTAATATTGAGATTTTATTCCAAAGGTGCATTTTTACTGGTGTCCATTAAAAAGGACCCAGGGCTCAACTTTAAAATCAGACATGGAATTTGAGTAACACCAAAAAAAAAACCGTGGGGATTTGATAAGGGGACTGTTAGAACTCTGGCAAAGGGCACGAAGAGAGAGAAAGAGAATGAAATCATGGTTTAAGATAACATGTTATGAGAATAATCCCACCTCTTTAGACTCCATTTTGTGAACATTAAAGAGCTGAAACACCCTCCCATCCCCAAATAATTCAAGTTAGTTGACACTACCCATCTGTGTATAATCTCAGTTCCATTAATAGTTTACTGCTTTCTAACTCTTTAGTAAATAAAAAGCACAGCATCTTTCCTGCAGCAAATACAGATGGGTCATTTTGATCAGCCAGCATCCTAGCACATGAGATCTTACATGTTTCAGGACACCAATCCTCCAATAATCTGTAGCCGCTCAACTATATTCAAAGTTAGAAGGCCACAAGCAACGTTCTACTCTGGGTAAGAAGCCCTGAACACATGCAGCTCATCAGTGGAAGTTGAGAGCCTGCGATACCTCTCAGAATCTGAACCACCATTAATAGGCCCAAGACTGCTCCTACTGATGTCATTAAGAACACAGCCGGGACCACAATTGAGCACTATGTCTGCAAGCTGCATGGTTATTTTGGTAACACAAAAGAGTTGGTAGCATGCCCAGCAATGAACAGGTACACCAGGTATTTTGAGAGTCTTTTAAGACCTTTATAGGTAAAGACAGAGACAAGTAACTGTAAAATTATTGGTCAGGGACTATATTTCAATTAAAAATACATGGGGTTTTGAGGAGATTTAAGTAAAAAATGATTTTACGAAGAGAGGAAAAAAAATCCAAGCTGGAACAAAACGAAGTATCTTAATGACCTTGAGCTCCACTGGCAAAATTCACCCTGCACACTGTATTATAGTTCATAAGCCAAGTAATGTAGTTTGCCAGAGCCATCCAAAATGTCCCTAACAACGTAGCTTGACATCATCTGCTGTACAAGTTAAGCTTTTGTTTAAAAACTTCAGAAGTGATTTTTAAAACACAGATGCAAAAGAATGCAATAGACCCATTAAAATACAGAGTGTAAAAAGAGGAGTGATTTGTACTTCGGATGAGAAACACTTTAAATTGGGCTCTCTTCAACAAGCGATGGGGGCAGCTTACCTGAAAGTTAAAAATCCTGTAACATCTTTTGGAAAGTTATAGGCTATCCCCGGTGTGCTGGAGAACAGTGCCTCCTTTCCTAAGGGAATTCCTATGTTGAATGCTTAATGGCTATACCCTTTGCCTTAGTCATTGTGCATCTAGCATCAGACTTCAAAATTATTCCCACATACTATTAGTAGGGCCCTACCAAATTCATGGTCCATTTTGGTAAATTTTACCGTCATAGGATTTAAAACATCTTACATTTCATGGATTCAGAAATTTATATCTTAAATTTAATGGTGGTGTAACCGTGGGGGTCCCAACCCAAAAGGCAGATTGGGGGGGGGGGTCACAAGGCTATGATAGGGAGTAGTTGTGGTATTGTCACCCTTTCTCCTGCGTTCTCCTGCGTTGCTGCTGGTGGTAGCACTGCCTTCAGAGCTGGGCGACCAGAGAGTGGCCGCTGCTAGCAGCAGTGCAGAAGTAAGGGTGGCAATACCATACCATGCCACCCTCACTTCTGCGCTGCTGCTGGCAGTGGTGTTGTCTTCAGAGCTGGCTGCCCAGCCAACAGCTGCGGAGCTTCCTGCAACTGGGGGAGGTTCCCGGAGGTGGGTCTGACCCAGCCCAGGAGCAGCCTGTGCAGGGGAAGAGGTAGTCCTGTCCCTCCCCAGCCCGGCTGGGACTAGCAGCTGGAGCCCGGCACATGGTAGGAACCCCCAGCTGGGATGCCTCCAGCCCTGCTGCTCCCCAGCTCCAGGCCCAGTGCTCGGAGGTTAAAGGGCCTTGGGCTGGCTGGGGGGGGGGGGGGGGGAGGGGTGACCACAGAACCCCCCTGAGCACTGCACCCTGGGCAGTCACCAACGTTGCCCACATGTAAGGCTGGACCTGCCCCCACAAAAGTGATGACCCCTCCCATACCATGCCACCATCACTTCTGCACTCCTGCTAGCGGTGGTGCTGCTTTCACTGCTGGGCGCCTGGCCAGAAGCTGCCACTCTCCGGCTTCCCAGCTCTGAAGGCAGCGCAGAAGTAAGGGTGGCAATACCGCGACCCCCCACTCCCCCACAACAGCTAAATTTCACAAGGGAGACCAGATTTCACGGTCCCTGATGCATTTTTCACAGCTGTGAATTTGGTAGGGCCCTAACTATTAACATGAAAGATGCTAGATAGGATCCGTATTTTATTCTTCTGCAATCAGCTTCATATGAGGGGTAAGATTCAAAATAAACCTTAAAAGAAGGCCTTGCCAGCAACGTGCTCCCAAAATTATTACAAAAGGCTCAGGGGGTACTCCTCTCACAAATTACTTAGCAAAATGATACTAGGAAAAGATCATTACTTCCAAGGTGTCTGTATTTTCGATCATTGATTGGGATGGTCTGTGAAAATATAAGAGAGGCAGGGGACTAATTCTAACCCCTCCCCCCCCCTACAAAACCTCCCACACTGTGTGTGAGCTGTTTTGACGGACAATGACAAGATACTGTTCTAGTACATGCTGCAGTGATTTACACCACTCCCGCTGCTCTCAGTTTTGCAGGCGATGAAGGGTGCATGACAGGACAAGGTCAAATCAGGCGAAAAAACAAACTATGCTGTCTTCTACATGTGTACTTATTAGAAGGGAAACTTGACATTTATACACCCTTCATGCCAAAATTAAGTTACAATGGGGTTTTCACATTACCATTTTCTCTTCTGTTAAATTAACTAGCAGTTGCCACAGCAACTGGCATTTAAAATGGTACTTTTTACTACCTACGAAAGATCTTTAAACACATTCACTATGAATATCATTGTTCAATAAACTTCTCCCCACCCTGCCATCTTCTAAAGGTTAACGGTTGTTCTTTGGATTACAGGTAGTTTGCCTTTATTTCTACTCGATAGGGGAAAAAAAAAATCTGATGACTAAAGTTTAGTGGTCAAAATATTTCAGGCAAGAGAAAAGCTCAAGTGGAATTTTTGAGTATGCCTGTTGTGGTATCACCATCTTCTTGCTATTGTTGGACTACTTCTAAAATAGTGACACTCATAAAAGAGTAGGACAGCAAGCGAAAGCAGATGAGATCATATGTCAAGTGATTCCAATTTCTGGTAAAATGCTCATCCAGAGTTGCACAAGCTTGGAGATGTGTTTTCATTTTCAATACCACTTGGAGCTGCAGTTCAAGAACACTGGGAAGGAAAACCTCATCATTTGCTTGATGTAATTATTAAAAAGCACCGACAAGCACATGAGAATGTAATCTGAATAAAAGAGGAGAGAAAATATTTTCCCAAATACTGTCATTAATTCAGGTGTAACAATGGGCTTGAGAACACTTCTCTAACTATAATGTTAGTATTATACAGCACTTCAATGCTTACAATATGCAAACAAATATCAGATGTTTGGCTGTATTAAGAAATATGAAACATGCTACCTAGAAAAGTTCAATGACATTTAGTCTCCTCTGTATTTTAGCATCCAGTTAGGCTATTGGTAAGCAGTAGATAAGTGGTATGCAAATATTATTGTAGTCAATGGCATAGTACAGATGAATTGGGTATTGTGTGTATATTAGAAAGTGTTTGCTATTGGATGAAAACCTTTAGGCAGTCAGACATTGTGCATTTACATACACCCTTCAATTAAAATGCAAGATTAAGGCAGTAATGCAGTTAAGAAGCAAGTACCACAATAACAGCAGCTTAACTAGAGGAGCAGGCAAAAGTGGGAAGCACCACAATGAACTACTTGCAGTGCTGATTTTGAAGATTGCTTAGCTTTTATAACTAAGAGGCACTTTTTGGCCAGGCAAGTCAACTCTGTGGGCCTGATTATCCTTTCACATTGGCTTTACAATGGTGTGACATCACCAGTTTCAAAGGAGCTCCTCCCAAATTACAGTAGTGTGAAAGAAAAAACACACCAGCCCTTGCAGTGGAGATTTCCAAAGCAACCGAGGAAGCATACACACACATTTTCCATTTAATTTTAATTGAAGACATGTCTTACATGCCTTCAACTACTTTATAGTTGAAACTGGTAGAAATACCAGTTTGAGATTTTCAAAGACATGGACAATAAGTTCCCTTTTAAAAACAGCCACAAATTTCTCACCCGAACTTTTCTGCCTGCATATACTGTTTAAGAAAAAAGGAGAGATGGAAGGAAGTGTAACGGTAATTAGCAGTAAATATACCAGACTACTATACATACCCTTTTATGATCTTCCAGCTGCCTCTGTAGTAGACTTTGATCAAGCTCCTGCTGAGCATGCAGAAATTCTGTTGTAAAGTATAATACTAAAGAGACACTAATATCTTCAGCATCAATAACTAAACAGTAGAAAAATTCAAGAAAGTCATACAACTGAGAGCAATGGGGGAGGGAAGGTAGGTCGACTGACAAACTTATTAAAGAGTTTCAGGGCTTATCTACACCTTTGATGCTCTCCATCAAACTACACGGGGCATGCACATTTGCTAGATGTTTGTACATATTTTAAAAGTAAAAGTAACACACAAAGTTTCCATCTAGTTTCACAGTAACTCATAATACAAAACAGAAAGAAAAAAAGAAGAAGAAGAAAAAAAAAGGCCAGGATCTTGGCAACTCATACGTGCATTACATCCATGCATACACACTTATACACACACAAACACACACCATTTCTGGAGGAAATGTCATTATTTTGACACACCTCACTCTGGCCAATTAGGAAGTCCAGTCTCTTGCGAATGTGGAAGACATTTGGCATATAATGCCAATGTCAATGCCTCAGTTCTATTTGGGGCTTTCGATGTATTTTTCTTCTGCTGTGCAGAGTAAATACTATGGCAGGTATAATGGTGAAAGCCAAATGCCTCTTCTCTTTGAACAAGGCAGATTTTTAGAACAGAACAATGTCTCATACTGTTGATGGCTTCGAAAGCATTTGGATCATTCATGACAATCATTTTTCAGGGACTGATTTAACACTAAGAGGCTATTTCCCACATGTCTCATTGAATTCATTCTGTAACCACTGAGCACTTAAGACAGACATTCAAACACTACTCCACAAATGCTACTTATAATAAAGTTCCAAAGTACTGAAAACTGCATTTTTCTCTTCATCACTTACAACAAATCCATAATACTGCTTAGCCACATAAAATTCTTTACATAGCCTAGGCAATTGAAAAGAAGCTAGACTTAAGCTTCCATATAGCTTTAATCAAGAGTAAAACTGATCTGGTAGGCAGTGGTAGACTCTGTGCCAACCGCATCATTGGTTGCTTCATTAGTTTCAAAAGAATTCAAGCTTTCATAAATTCATAAATAAATAAATAAAAGTGCTAGTCCTAAACGTTTTCGGTGGATAAATTGTTGAATATGAACTGATTCATCCTAATGGGTGTTAACCCTGTAGTGTAATGATGACAACTGAAAGGTCAACTTTACTATTTCACTGAATCTTTTTAAAAACAGGAATATTCAACTATTCTGGATTTGTTGAACTTGGGTAAAGTTCCACTATTTTCTCACCCCTCCCCACCACTCACCTCCAAACCTCTTGTTTTTAACATGCAAGGATAAAATGATTCCGGATCTGTGATTTCCCCTAGAAGTGAGAGGAATGAAGCCTAGTTCTTTAACACATGGGATCTGAGCTGAGACTTTCAATGTAGTGCCTCCATTAAAGATGGTTGGCTGAATTACCTGCACCGCTTTGAAAGTTTCAGTCTTTGCTCCTTTGGGGCTCTTAATGGTACTATATGAGAACAAGTTTTGAATTGGTAAGAGACCTATTTTTTTTTTTTTTTTTTCAAGAATATTTTTATACTGGATTGAACCATTTCAGCAACGCTGCATACATCCCTCTGCCTACATCATTCAATAAAACACAATAACACAGATTTGACCAACGAGAAAGACATTTAAGCATGATTACTTAAAACACCAATATTTGTGTGTTTTACAAATATAGGTGGGTGACACACCTCTACAGAGCTTTCCGTTTCTGGAGGTTGCGGCAGCTAGTTGAAAGTAAAATGCAGATAATTAGTCATAGTTCAGGAATGTTTCATCTAAACAGAAATCTAATGGTCAACACTTAGGGAGAGGGGAATTTAAAAACCAACCAAAACAAAAACACAAAAAACTTTCCATGGATTTTCTGCCACTCATTTGACCTTAGCTGCATCATCTTGCTGAATTATGGCATAATTTTGGTTTCTACACATACTGAAAGAAGTTTACTGTTTACATGTATATTGCTGATAAGGGACCAAGTTTTCCAAAATGCACCTGCTAAAGTTGCATGTCCCCAACCTGCTCACATGAACTACCAATGCAGAAGAACACACCCTGATTTACAGGTGCATGTGGTTTCATGCCTGCATTAGCACACATGCAATTTGGAGATGCACAAACACGGCCTTTCCAAAATCTGCACCCAAAACATACACTCACATATATGGTGAATTATACTACACATTTTAGTATAGTGGCTTAATCCCCAACGGGGGTAAATCACTGTCTGAATACAACTCGCAGCAGACATCTGTTTTAGGATATGGATTCTGAAAGGGCATTTTCAGTGGATTGTCATAAGATAAATATTCTTTTTCTGAAATTACAGTATTAGACATCAGCAACCAAGTAGGAAGCTAAAGGGGGATGAATAGATTTTCCATTTAAAATGTGATGCAACATGTTAACACAAATTAAGATGAGTCTACTCGTGTCACCTAGTAAAATTTACAGACATTCGACACAGACATACGAGACCTATAAAGCCTTTTTAACATGGGTAATTAATTTATTTTCTCTGAAGCAGACACACTAAGAACTAATTATGACTATTTATGAAATAGGAGTATTTAGAGATGCCGAACAAGGTCAGCAACCTGCTATGCTAGGTGCTGTACACACTCGTAACAGTCAATCCCTGCCCCAAAGAGTTTACAACCTAAATCGACAAATGAGACAATGGGTAGGAGAAAAGAGGCATCACTGTAATTTTAAAGATGAAAAACAGGCACAAGCAGATTAAGTGACTTGCCTAAGGTCAGACTGGATACCTAGGACCAGGATTTGAATCCAGATCTTCCAAGGGCCAGTCCAAAGCCTTAACCGCAAGACCACACAAACACGCTTTCAGTCTGCGACCTTGTAGTAGAGTGACTGTGGTGAATCAGTTTTCAGAATATCAGCTCAACATCAGCAATAGAGTAGGGCAAAACAGGCAGGAAAATAGAGGAAGGCAACCAAGCTGAGGAAGTCTAAGGTGGAGAGGTTCCACTGCTCAGGAAAGAGGCAGAGGAACTGACATTTTCCACCTTGACATTCAGTGGAGAGGGATTCCATGATCAGGAAAAGCCATTCTCCTTATTTCTTCTAATCAACGTTCCTCCTGGCTGATTCACATGCCTCTCCGGTACATTATTTCCTGGCATTGTCATTACTATGTATTCTGGAAATTTAACAAGCATATAAGCCACTGAAGTCTTGGTCAAATGGGAGTTTAGGCTAGGAGAACAAAAGTTAAACAGGAAGAACCTAATTTATGCAGGAACTTTGTCTTCATCTACCTAGTAAGCATTACCAAGCACACTCTAGTTGCTCAACAAATAATATTGGAATTGCCATTCCAGACCATTAGTCAATCTGAACCCTTTATCCAGACCACACCAGCAGCCAGTACGCAACTTGCTTCAGAGCAAAGTGAAAAAGCCCTCTTATTAATAAAGTACTAATCAATCTCCTTACCGATAACACAAGCTCAACTGCACACACCTCTGTTGAGGGAATTAAGCGTGGTCTTCTTTTCAAAGACTGAGAAACTGAACCAGAAAGGTGAAGGTCCCAATCCAGGGTACGGAGGGTGTCAGAGTCTGAACTAGAACACCCTGGTCTTGTGCTCTTACCACACACTAACCAAGCAGATATGTGCATGTTTTAGGACTGAAATTTGCCAGAGCTATAAAGAATCCAAAAGAAGCTCTATGGGATCAAATTAACAAAGTGATTTACAGGAATTAGGAAGAGTAAGTATTTGAGACAGAAAAGTCCCATGTCTTCCAAATTAAACAGGAAAAGGGATATAGGGTTTTAGGGCCCAATCTTATAAAGTGAACTGGTTGGGGAAACCTTGCTCCCAGAAAGAGTTCAGCAACTTCAAATGATGGGAGCTTCATGCAGTCCTGAGGATCAGCTCACCTGTAACACTGCAACTGTAACAGGGCTTTAGCAATCAGTCAGTAAGACTAAAAAACTGAATAGTGAGATTGACTGGATTGTTTTCATCAGAACTGACTAAAAGTAGCAAAGAAATGTTGAGTTAGGGGTGTCATGCTATCCTTAGCAGTGTTTAGCAGGGTAAACAAAATATTAGCATAGGCTTTAGAGAAGGATGGTCCAGTGGTTAAAGTGTTAACCTGGGAGCCAGCTGTAATCCCCTGCTCTGCCATAGATTTCCTGTATGACCTTGGATTATGACAATCTTGCTTTGCCTCAGGTTCTCTCATCCATAGGCGCCAACTTCGTGGGTGATCCAGGGCTAGAGCACCCATGGGGAAAAAATTAGCGGCTGCTCTGCACCCACCGGCAGCCAAGCTCCCTCCTCCTCGCCTCCTCCCTCCCCCCCCCCGAGCATGCCACGTCCCCGCTCCTTCCCCTCCCAGCACTTCCCACCTCCCCGCCGCCTAACAGCTGTTTGGCAGTGCTTAGGAGTTTCCGGGAGGGAGAGGGAGGAGCGGGGATGTGGCGCGCTCAGGGGAGGAGGCGGAGAAGAGGTGGGGCAGGGACAGAGCTGGGGTGGGAAAGGGTGGGGGTGGGGCGGGGACTTTGGGGAAGGAGTGGAATGGGGGGGGGGCGAGGGCGGTGCAGGGGCAGGAAGAGGGGGGGCCAGGGGCGGGGAAGAGCACCCACCGGGCAGAGGAGAAGTCAACGCCTATGCTCTCTGTACAAGAAGAGGCTACTTTGAAGCTGCCCCTGCCTAGAAGTTTGGCAAATAAACCTTTGTTATTAGCCATACCAGAATTATTATTATTTTGACCTATTGTTGACCTGAATGTTTCTAACAGTGACTTCTCATTTGTTATGGAATAGGTATCTCCCCAAAAGCAACTCATCTGACTCAAGAGTGAATGTACCCATTTCAGCGGTTGGTACAATCAATTAACTGAGTAAGCGTGTACTTATTACATCACTTCACAGCTGACCTAAAAGGGAAAAGTTTGATTTTTTGATCCTCTTTTGCCTTTATGTTTTATGCAGAAGGCCTGAAAGTTTAAGGTTTTTATCAGATTGATTTTTTACATGAGAAGTTGAGAATTTGCCTATTCTGTTTTTCCTGAAGACTACAGTCACCAGGGGAAACTAGCAAGTGATTGATATTGCAGATAAAAATGAAGATAAAAATTGCAAAACAGAAGAAAATATTTTTTTTCAGACTTGAAAACTCTGGAGTTCTTTACTTTTTTGCTATGTTATTTAGCTCAAATGCCTAGCAAACAGCTAGAACAAAAGATCTCTGTTAAAGATTTGTAACTCTTTCAAACAAAGTACTGAGAGAGCTTCCAATTCATTTCACTGGGTCCTGAAATGAATCCCCTCAGCAAAATAGGGGGAGAGAAGACCTGATATTCTTGACATTTCTAAGGTAGAAAAATAACAGGTGAAAAACATCTTTTTTTTTTTTTAAATGAGAGAGTATGTGTGTGAAAAAGAGACAACATTATTTCAGGCTTTTGCTATGAAAAGAAATGAGACATATTTAATAAAAATTTGATCCTTTCCCCTCTCTCCACCCTCACTGAATTTTGACATTCTGATGAAAAAGTCAAAATTACAAGTTTCAAAAATGTTCTGTCTTGGTTACTGAGAAGCAAAAATAAGGCCAAATCCTTATTTTGTCCTCCTCAGGTCACCTTTGATCATCCAGGTTTCAGAGTGGTAGCCATGTTAGTCTGTATCAGCAAAAACAAGGAGGAATCCTTGTGGCACCTTAGAGACTAACAAATGTATTTGGGCATAAGCTTTGAAGTGGGTTTTAGCCCACGAAAGCTTATGCCCAAATAAATGTGTTAGTCTCTAAGGTGCCACAAGGACTCCTCGTTGTTTTTGATCATACAGTACATTCAGAAGATGGTGTAACCTGGCTGATACACTTCTTGGTGTTCAGCTTCCCCATGCCTATACTGGCTTATTCCAGCTTCTTCACAACACTATTTAGCCAGAGGATTACAACCTTTTTCACTCCTGACACAATACCCAAAGATTTCCACAATCCTGCTTCCATCTCCCTAAGGTCAGTTCCATGTGCACGTCTCTGAGGAGACTCCAATGAACTCGCTTAAAAAACAGACCAGAAACCAGAGACTTAATTTCTTCTACTTGAGATATAATTCAAATGCTGTTTAAGTACAAAATACACAACAGCAATGATTGTGGCATGAGATCTCTCTATGAGGGATATAATTTCATCTTTAAAAGTGCATCTAACTAGCATTTATCATGTTAATTGATCTCCCATCTTAGATCTGGAAAACAACACATTCTGAACTTCATCCAGCTGTGGCAACGTAGTTTTACAGCTTATCATTGATACACATCACTGCAAAGATTATTGCAGCCAATCCCTTTTCATCAAGGATTTCAGTTCCCTTTTCACCTACTTGAAACCTCGAAAATCAAAAAAAGCCCCCACCCACCTTGAATGGGTTTGCTGGTATATTTCTCTGGAGCTTGCTTATCAACCACATAAAGAGAACAAATCCTTCTTTTTATTGAACTGAAGTCAACATTTTACTAGAAGTTACTTTAATTCACCCGCTTAATGCCTTCAATACCCGTTAACGTCAAGGCAAGTTGAGGGTGCTTAGCAGTTTGTTAGATCTGGTCCCTTTCTGCTTTGCTAACTATATGCAAGGAAAGAGTGGCTGGGGATGCGCGTTGAATAGGGGTTCATAACTTATGTGCAAATACTCTTGGACATATAAACATTAGCTTTACTGATCAATGATAGAGGAAA